TCTTTCTTTTTCTTGTTTTTTTCATTTTGGTTTTTTCTTGTTTTTCCCGTTTGTTATTTTTTTTAGTGTGTTTTTTTGCTTTTTTTGGGGCCTTCTTCTTGGTTGGTTTTGTTTGGCCGGGGTTTTTTTCGTCTTTCTTTGGCCCTGTGCTCCCCGTTTTTTTGCTTGTTCCCTTTTTTTTGTTTGTTTCTTTTGTTTCTTTTTTTGGTGCCAGTTTTTTTTTTGTTAGCCTTTTGTTGTTTTTTCCGTTTTATTTTTGTTTTGTTTTTTGGCGCGTTTTTTTTTGTTTTTTGTTGTTTTTTTTTCGGGTTTCTTTTGTCCGTTTTTTTTTTTTTTTTGGTTTTTTGGCTTTTGTTTTCCGTTTTTTTGCTTTTTCTTTTGTTTTCTTTGATGGTTTGGTCTTTTTTTGTCTTTTTTTTCATTTTTCATTTTTTTGGTTTGTTATTTTGTTTGGCAGCTTTTTTGGCTTTTTTTGTTGGTTTTTTCATTTTGTTTTTTTTTTTGTTTGTTTTTTTTTTTTGCTTTCTTTGTTTTTTTTGTGTTTTTTTATTCTTTTGTCCTGGCGGCCTTTTTTTTGTGGGTTCTTGTGATTTTTTTTGCTTTTTCTGTTGTTTGGGGCCGTTTTTCAACTTCTTGTTTGATTTGTTTTCTTTTTTTGGTTGGTTTTTTTTTGGGCTTTGTTACAGGAGTCCTTTCGTTTTTTTTTTGTTGGCCTTTTTGGTTTTTGGTGTTTTTTTGTTTTGTTTTTTTTTGGTCCGTTTTTTGTTTTTTTTCTTTTGCCTGAGGGGGCTTTTTTCCTTTTTTGTTTTGTTGTTTCGGTTTTCGTCATTTTTTGGGGGTTTGGGGTGTTATTGTTTTTTGTTGCCTTTGCCTTTTTGGTTTTTTCTTTTGAGGATTTTTTTTTTTTGGGCCGTTTTGTGGTTCGTTTTGTTGTTTCTTTTTTTTTTTTGCGTTTTTCTCTTACGGTTTTCCTTTTGGGGGGCATTGGGGTTTGTTGTTCTAGTTTTTTTTTTTTTTTGGTTGGGTTTTTTTTTTGCCTCCCGGTTTTTTCCTTTCCTTTTTGGGGTTTGTTGTTTTGTTTTATTGATTTTGTTTTGTTTTTTTTTTCTCTTGTCCCTTGTGTTTTTTTCTTGTGCCCCCCTTGTTTTTTTAATGTGGTTTTTTTTTCCGTTTTTTTGGTTTTGTTTTTTTCGGTTTCGGTTCTGGTTTTTTTTTGGCTTTTTTTTTCGGTTGTTTTCTTTGTTTTTGCCCTCTTTCGGGTGGTTTTGGTTGTTTTTTTTTTTCGTTTTGTTCCCCTTTTTTTGGTTTTTTGGGTGGTTTTTGTTTTTTTTTTTTGCTCGTTTTTTTTTATTCCCTTGTTCTTTGATTTTTTTTCGTTTTTTTGGGGTGAATTTGTTTGTTTTTTTTTTTTTGGTTTTGTTTTTTCTGGGTTCTTTTTTGTTTTGGGGCTTTGGGTTTTTTTGGCCCTGGGGTTATTCTTGCGTTTGTTGTTGGTTTTGTTTTTGCTTTTTGCCTTTGGGTTTTTTGTTTTTGTTTGGGCTGTTTCGTTTGTTTCGTTTTTTCTTTGTGTTTCGCTTTCTTACGAGGTTTTTTGGTTCTTGGCTTGTTTGTTGGTTTTTTTTTTTTTGGTTGGTTTTTTTTTGGTGTTTTGTTTTGTTCTTTTTTTTTGGTTCTTATTTTTTTTTTCCCGGTTCTGCTTTTCTTTTCTTTTTTGTTTTGGTTTGGTTTAAGTTTGGTTTGTTTTCTTTGGTTTAATTTTGATTCGGCATTTTGTTTGTTTTGGTTTTCAGTTTTTTGTTTTTGTGTTTTTGTTTCGACGGGTTTCGTTTTTTTGTTTTTTGGGTGTATTTTTTGTTCTGTTTGGTTTTTTGCTTTCACTCGGTTTTTGTTTCATTTTTTTTTTTGGGCTGTTTTGGTTTGTTGGGTTGGTTTGGTCTGATTTTTTTCTTGTGTTCTTGTTCCTTTTTTTGTTGGCTTTTTTTTTGGGTTTGGCGGTGTTTTGTTCTTTTTTTTTTGCTTGGTTTTTGGGCTTTTGGCTTTTTTTTTTTCTTTTGTTGGGTTTTTGGGTTGCTTTTGTTTGTGTTTTTGTTGTTTTTTTTTTTTTTTTTTTGTGGATCCTCCATCACCAATTTAATGGATGACAGAGACACTGTCATTGCTACAGCTGCGGTTATTTTTTTATTTATTTTTTTTTTTTTTTAGATTCAGTCACGGGATGCCACGGTTTAGGCGTTGATATGGCGCTCATCACTGTAAGGTAAAGGTGCCGGGTTTGAATCCATCGGGCCTGCATTCAATCCCGACATACTTACAAACAGTTTTTTTTTTTTTTTCAAAAACACTGGCACCCCGAAGGTTCATGTAACCTCTTAGTTGAAATACCCTTGTTAAAAAAACCTCAATCATAGAGTACGTTACCCCATCTTACTTTCGATCCGTTTCCACACAAGTTTCAAAAACCTTGTTCGGATTTTTGTCATTCAGAAGAGAAGCGTTTCAAATTATTGGTTCAGCTTGATACAGATCGAGGAAATCCAAGACTTTTATGAGGCCAATCCATTCATAACTGACAGAAAAAATGCTATGATGTTCTTTCATTAAGACGTCTATACTAGTTAAGATTGTTTATTATTGAAAAATAAATAGCAATGCTGATTGATGATTATACTTGATATCAATACAGTACAGTTGATTCCTGAATGTGTGGATGCTTTGAATTTGGCTATTTCAAGAATATTTGTGCATTTTGAAGCAGACAAGGAAACCGACAATTCATGGCATGGCAAGCACCAAATAATGTTATTCGGCGAATAACGTAATGCGTAAAATAACGCGTAAATTGGGATTTGGCGAATTTTTGCTCGGAATTCGGCAAATCCCAAGTGCCTGGAGCCACCTTACATTCCTCCTCATAATATGGATTCCCACTTGAAACAGTATTTAGATTCAGTGTGAAACCAGCTTTCAAACGATATTCACTATTACGGTATAGCTCCATTGACGCTGAAAAAATTGACCGTGAACTTTTTATAATAGACTTTCTTCCCATTTAAAGGTAGGATTGGATTGTATTTAAATTAAATAAGATTACTGAATTGATGATGATTTAAATGCTAAAATATTTTGAGTTTTCAGGGTTTTGTAAAGAAAAAAAGTCTCTAAAAGTTTAACAATCAGTTGTTCTTTTTGTTTAACTTGTAAGTAATTTAATTTTTAAATAAATTTTAATATTATAACAATAGATAATAGTAAATATAAAAATGTATTTTTATTTTTTAGGTTTAAAAAAATTAAATTAGTTTTTGTTCATTTTTGAAAATAGTCTTACTAGGAAGAATTGTGTAATGAAAAAGATAAAAATGGTACAAAAAGTTGACTTTTAATCTGGATGCTTCTCATGGATAGCTTCAAGTTAATCCGACGAGACTTGTATTTAAGAGAAAAACCCTAATCCGTCCCTAGAGTTCTTCATCATCTTGTGTTTTCCAATTCCACTAACTTCAATGCCTAGGGGACAAAACGGACAAATCCTTTGTGTAAATTGCAGCAAAAGTGCTTATGGACGAGGCAGGAAGGCGAGAACATGCTTCTACAGCCCAGGTTGTAGCATTGATGACAGAACATTTTACATAGATAAATTTTAGTTAAAATTAAAAAAATAAAAAATTGCTGCCCCAGAGGGTCGACATTTCAGGCTCCCTTATTCAACTTATTAAAGATAAGAAAATAAGTTAACCAAATCAGCATGGAGGCCACTTGGCAGTCGTCCACCAGGTTAAAGAATAGCCCAATGAAACGCCAAATGGCGCCCAACGAGCTGATATTGTTAACCTTATTTTTCAGTCAACGATATGCTAAAAATTAAAACAAAAACTTTTTCCTCCATTCAGCAATCTCACAGAACATTACAAGATGTAGACAATGTATTTAATTGTGCCAAAAGAAAAATTGATTTCTGCCCATTAGCCAAAATAAAACATATAATTTATTATTAAACACAATAAAAAATAAATGCATATGGAAAAAGCAAAAATAATATTGAACGAAAGACAGAAATATTTAAAATATTAAGCGTACAATACATAAACAAATGAAACAATTAAAGAGCAAAATATTTAAAGCAAACAACCGTAAGTCAGCAATGCAACAAAATAAGCATAAATATAAGGAAATATAAGCGGGGAAATACCTTAGTCACACTACTATCCTGTGAGTCATTTGATTTTTCATCCTTTTGCTGAACCACTTCTGTGGGTTCTTCAATGACCTCGGAGTCGAGTTTCGACTCTACTTTGTCTTCTTCGATAACGAACGGATTGAGGAAAGGGTTAGTGGAATTGGTCTGTACCGAAGGGGTCGAGCTGAGAAAAGGGTTCGTTTGGGAGGTCAGAGTCCGTTGCTCGATCTGACCCGTGTCCCCCCAGGAAAAGTGGGTGACAGTGACAGGCGTAGGCGAGGTGGGAGCGGCGTTTATCAGGATTGGAGCGATAGATGGGCTCAGTGCCAACGTCAGCTTGTCCCCGCCCTGTACCAATGAACACACTCACCAATAAAATATGCAAAATGCAAATTAATCACAGTTGACTAATGGACTTATGAAACTTTCTTACAAATTTTAAATTATTATATGAATTTCAACACTATTTACAAAACATTTACAAGTACTTCTTTTTTACGGAATAATAAATACTTAAACTTCAAAGTAAAAAAAAAAATTCAGATGTATAATTTTTTTTCTCTACTGGTGAAAAGCAACAACATAAACCCCAAAAAGCACCAAATTATATTGGAGGGGCTGGAAAGTAATGTCATTTTTTACAGTAAATTAAAACGTAAAATTTTAACAAGTATTTTATTTATTGTGATGGTCTGAATATGGTTCCTGGGATTTTTGAAATTTTTTTTCCAAATTTTCTCGAAGGAGAGCTAAACCCAGTTCGAAAGAAAATACCATAAAATAATAAAAATAAAATAAATTTCATTAAAATTAATTTTTTGTTTAATACAAATCAAACGTCTGACAATTAAAAAATTCAATATATGAAAATTAAGAAAAAAAGTCCTTTTTACAATCAAACAATTTTACTCTTGGAAACCGTTTGAACAAGTAGACCGGAGCCTGGCACAAGACACAGCACGTGCTCCAAAAACAAAGGGCTCCCGATGTGGCCGTATGAGTCCTCGGTTGGTGGGGCAGCCCCTCTCAAAGGTCCGCTAGGCTCCATGTCGATAAAATCGATAAAAATCAATTGTTTTTTGAGCAAAATATCTAAAGATGGCATTTTGGACAACATCCAAATTTTCGAATTTTTTTGCCACTTAGAAAATGTTGTAGCAATCGGAATAAATGGAAATTATGGCAGAATATCAGGTGAGTGTGGTGAGGCAATACCTCCCAACCAAATTCATTAATTTTTTCCAGGGTATAATGACGCATTATCTTGTTGAACAATAAAACCTTTTTTGTTGACAGTCGCTGAGCACTTTTCAATTAACGATCTTTTTGTTCACAGTAAAGGTCTGCATTTGTCCACATTTCAGCACTTCAAAATGAACAACCCTGTGAATACTCCACCAAACCCGAAAAAATTGAGGTGTAAACCTGGCTTAGCTGTACTTCGTCGCGATTCATTCGTAGAGATCCACTGTCTTTTACGTTTTGGATTATCAACCTCATTTTTCATCTCCAGCGATCAAGTGATCAAAAAACACTTCTGAATTGTGTCTCGGAAGCAAAAACCTAGTCTACTGCAATTATTCTTGGATGGTCAACAACATTCCTCAAATATTTTCTTCCACTTACACCTTTAAGGTTTAACAGGTCATTGTTTAAAACTGTTGGTCTTCCTGATTGATACAAGTTGAAAAAATCAAAATTGCTGGATTTGAACTTATAAAACCACATTTGGCAACTACGACTATATAATGCACTTGGTTAAACATCGCAAATGTTTTTGGTAGCAACAATAAAACTCAAAAAGCATACAATAATATGTACCTCTTCTGGTATTTATTTGGCTGCCCATTTCACCATAAATTGCACATAAAAAATTAAGATTTAATTATTGAAGAGTAAACAAGTCATTCTAATATTAAAACGTCTTCTGCATGACTTTGAAGTACACAATGATGACAAATGAATAACAAGGGCGAAAAGGACATTACTTTCCAGTCCCCTCAATAAATCAACATATACACTAAACACAAGAAAATGCCAACAGCCAACCCCGTAGCAAAATGTTTACAATAATTACATTATTTCTTTTAAAATATACAAAAAAACTCTATTTACATTAGAATGTTACAGTGTTCCAACTTACTCTGCTTTTTCCAGATGAAATTATATTGAACTTACTGACTCATACCTTTGGGGTTTTTGTTGCCAATACAAACTCTAGATTCCGAATCCTCCTTATAACAAACAACGTATTATTTTAGCGTAATATTTGTTATTATACACTCTATTTAATTTTAAAAGCCGCATATCAGTTGCCTGATGCTTCTTTTAATAAGTTCGAGATTTTAATTAAGAATTCAACCATCGACTATAAATCTTCTATTATATATCTGAATTTTTTTGTGTAAAAGGGACACATTAGTCAACTGTTGTGCAACATAAAATACATAAAAAGCTGGAAAAAAAAAATTGCACAGAAATGATAAAACTTTGGGTGGAGAACAGCAGCAGTAAAAATAAATTGTGAATTCTTGCTATACATTGAATAACACATTAAAGCATGAAAATGAACACAATAAAATCTTGAAAATCTGTTTCTAAGTTGCGAATTTATATTCAACAGTGATATTTTCAACGTGTGCAATTGAGAAGTAAAATATTTAACAAAAAAATATATATAAAAGATTTGAATGCAGATAATGAAAAAACAATATGTTTAAGACTGAGACAAAAGTAAAATTTAGACAATTTTTTTTACAAAAATGAAGGGAAATGATTTGTACAATAGTTAAGAAGGGTTTTACTTACAACAGAAACGAATGTAGCCTGGTCCAAGTTATTTTGATGGTTTTTTGACGTTTCTCCTGGTAAATCCCTGGAAAAAATATTTTGAATCGACAAAATATTAGGTTTTTTAAAACTATTTAACTTGATAAATTTAACAACTCACTCTATACTTATATCAAGAAGGGATGTAGGAGGTTCAATCGGCGAAGGAGTTTCTATTACAGTTGGAAGTGGTGATTTTCTCATCTCTTCTTCTAATTTCGCTGTAAAAGTTTAAAGCATTTGTATAAGAGTTCCACATAAATTACGCTTAAAAAAAAAAAAATAAATAAATAAAAAGAACCACTCAATTTATTTAGTTTAAAATTAAATCAACTTTTGGGAAAAGTGGGACAAAAATCCATTTGTGTTTTTTATTAGTAACCAGTAATGCAATAATTTGGTGGGATTCGTGAGGAGCGGTCAAGAATTTTTTCTACTTTTCTAAAATACCTCATTCTAGACCGCTCTTCTCGAATCCGACAAATTACTAAATCCATTTTCTTTCAGCATTAGTTACTGGTAATTTGGAGCAATCACAGTCAAAATAAACAGTAATTAATGCTTTGTTTACTTTTGTACTGATTAATCAAATTTGCAGAAAAAAGTATCATTATGACCTTCTATTCTGCTATGCCTAAAGATTGCAATCTGTTTAATCTTTTCCTTTGTCTATTTATTTTGATATTATTCTTATTCTTAAACCTTTTTCAATGGTTTAAGACAGGCATTTGAGTGAATATGACAGTGTCATGGTGGCCAGCTCAAAGTGGCAATAGATTCATTCATCAGGCTCTATGAAACTGCACCATTATGGGAAATGACATAGAAATCTGATAAGACAGAGATTTTCCCCAGGACTGTAAGAAAATGAAAAGAAAAAATAACGCCAGGGCCTGGCACCCGGCTTGTGGACCTCTTCTTACCACAGCTTAGAAAATGTCCAGGCTTCAATGGCAGGACATAATCAAGAACATGCAGTGAACATGTGATGATCTCAATGAAGATCAAACCATTGGCACGATAAAGAAAATGTTTTTCTGAAACCTACATCGCACCAGACCGCATCTCACGATTTCTGATTAATTATCGACGAACGGTCACTAAACACCACACATTTCTAAGTCCAGATTTGATCTCATTTGAACACATCTGGGACCAACTTAAGCAATGAATACGACGACAAAACCCAAGTCCTAACACCCTTGAGGAGTGGAAAAAAGGTGTTCTTGATGAATGGGAAAGAATTCCTCGGGATTTTACCAGAAATCTTTTCCAAGATCCTAAGGCATTTACCGGATGTAATTCATACCAGAGGCGGAAATACCTGGTATTAAAGGGGGCAAGTTATTTTACAATTTCTTTTTTCTTAAATCAATAATCACTTTTTTAGAATTAGGAAATTACATTTTTTTTAATGTCTTTATTTTTACAATCAAATCTATTTTTGGTATACAAAATATAAATAAACCTAAATACATTAAAATTTATGGGTGGTATATGTATTTTTTCGTTATATTTATTACAACGTATTATTTATTATTTGGTTTACTCTTAATAATGTGTATTACCTCCTCTGGCCTTGTGAAGGGCTTTAAATTTCCTCATCAACATGTAAATAAACAGTTGGATTTGACGAAACAGAATCCTAAGAATGCTCAAGATCAAGGTAAGTCTTGAAAAAGAAAGCAAATTCCTTGGCAATGTTATTAGGGCTGCTTTGGTCTTCAAGACATATTTAAGATCGTTTTGCCCTGATGATGATGTTAAATAGGTTGAAAGCTTGGCAGTAACAATTTACTTTCTTCTTTAAGACCACACCTTGATCCAGACGTTCATTCTTCAACAAGACCAATTTGAATTCTAATCTGCCTCTTTATCAGGTCCCATAAGTAATCTATGGAATGTCAGAATGTGCTGACCAATTCATTGTGGTAATCCCAAAATCCTGCAAATAAAAGGTAACTTGAGCCACATGCATCAAACATTATTGTCCCGACTGAGCAAATGAGACCACAGCAATCCAAAACTTCCTCAAGGTAATGCTAATCAGTTCAGTACGGGCATGTTGGCCATAATTGTCTTTAAAAAGGCGACTCATGGCACCTGAAGCAAAGTGTTTTCTACATCTCCTCTACGGTACCAGTAATTTGATTGCTACAAACAAACCGGCACTCATCTATGAAGAGACCCTCCCCCATTGTTCAATGATTTGCAAATAGTCGCCTTTCAATTCGATAGCTCACCCTTAATAGAGAACCTGATGCGGGACGTTATGCTCTCACGAAGCTTTTGGATGTAGTTCAAACCATTTGGAAGCTGTTAAATGGCAGTTCCGTAGTGCAATAAAACATCTCCAGCTGTCATACATTGCGGTTAACCACTACCTTCTCTTCAATTGAGACTTCCGATGGCCCTAAATGCTGTAGACCACAGCACACCCAGGACTTAGGCAATGTAACAGACGTTATGATCATCGTTGGCCAAAGCATCTGCCTGGGTGAGATCTTGTTGACAAAAAAAACCATGTTTTTAAATTTTCTATTTTTCTCTCCCAAATTTATTGTTTCACCAAAGAAATTTAAAAACATAGCATATTATAAAAATAAGCAAGCATATTATAAAAACATAAACTTAAGGTTATATTAGTAAAGTTTACTGGTCTTTGGTGATTAAATTAAAAAAATATATATATAAATGATTTTATTGGCTTGCAATTGAAATTAAAAAATAAATAAATAAAAGTGATTGTTTATCAGTTGTTTTAAAAGTGAGCTATTAGCTGAAAAAAAAGTATGACTTGACATACCTTTGAGAATATTACACTTTAGTTGATGCGGGGGAATAGGCCGAGGTACTGCAGTAGGGATGATAGCCTTGTTGTTGGGTACACCGGTACTTTCGATAGAAACTACGGTGTCTGTAATTTACCAACAAAATTAATAAGCATTAACGACGTGTTAAATCTATAGACGGTTTTGAACAAGGCAAAGCGTGGTTAGAAAATTTATTAGTGTGCGATTTACCGACATAAATAATTCACAGATTGTGCATTAGTGTTGTAAAATGGTTATAATAAAGGGGTTTAATTTAAATTGCAACAAGACAATACCTATAGGTTTCAACTGAAAATCAAGATGAAATAGAGATATACCTGAAGAAAAATATCCTTTCTCTGTTAAAAAGAAAAATTAATTTTGTTTTTAAAGTTTATAGTAATTATTTTTAAGAAGAAAATGTAATAGCGGGCAGTTTATAGGCTCACCAGTATCAGTTTTACTGCTGACAATTGAAGTAGAGTCGTTCTTGTCGTCTATATTTGAAGAGTCCTTTGCAAGGCTTTTGAGTAAAACATCAAGCCTCTCTTCTGCAACAGGACCTGAAAAACGTAGAAGTTGATAAAATGTAAATTTTGATTTTGAAAAAAAACAAAACATGTTAAGTAACTGAAAATGTCAAGTAAATGCATAACATATTTCAACATTTATAATTCAGGAATTTATACGTATCATCAGCATCTAAGTTTTTAAGTATTACAAAGGATAATAGTATTTTACATTTTATTACAAAGCTTACTTTATTTATTTTTTTGTAGTTTCTTTTAAAATATATATGACCATTTTGCATCTGTTCTGTGTAATTTCAGTTTATTTATATAAAATTTTATATTAGTTAATTATAATTTCATTTAAGGTCTTGGCTGAGATGAAAAAATCGTGACATTAGATTTTTCAACTCAGCCAAGAACAAAGATAAAATGTATCATTAATTAAAATAATTAATACATCCAATTAATTATTCCTTCTAAATGCATAGAAGGTATATATAAAATTTTATATTATTTTTAACAAATATTTAAAAAAGGAAAGTTTACTTAAAAATAATATTAAGTTTTATAGATATCTTTTCAACAAAACTATATATAATGAAAAATTTGAAAATTTTTTACATTCAAATAAATGTTTAAATAAATAATGAATTACTTAAAGAAAAAAGACAAATTAGCTTAAAAAATTTCCATGTTAAAAAAAACACCTTATATAAAATGTAATATATTAAAAAAATTAATAAAATTTTAATTAACTATACATTTTGTATTCGAACGCAACATATTTAGAAACGTTTTTTATTTTTATTTATTTTTTATTTCAAAAACACCAGCACCCCGAGAATTAATTGCTTGTAGTTGAAATACCCTCATTTAATTTTTTTAAATTAATTATACTTTTTATCTAAGGTCTTGATTGAGATAAAGGCCTGAGAGAAAAAGTATAATAATAATATATATTTTTTTACGAGGGTATTTCAACTTCAAGATTATATGAACCCTCAGAGTGCCAGTTTTTGAAAGAAGAAGAAAAAAAAACATTTGCAACTATGTCAGGTTCAAATGGGGGCTGCTGGATTTGAACCTGGAACCTTTAACTTACAGTGAGCCGGTCAACAGCTAAACCATTGCCCCCCCCAAGAATAATTAATAGAATAATTAATTAAAATAAATAATACAGTTAATTATGACTACTAAACATATTTTTCATTTCATACCAGAATGAGATGCCAAGCTGCTTGTAGGGCTAGGGGATGATGCTTCACAATCTACTGTTGTTCTGTGGTCAGACCTGACAATAAAAAAAAAAATTAATAACATTAAATCAATTTAAAAATTTAACATTCAATACCTGTTTTTTTCCCTCAAGACATGGGATTGTCTTCTTGCATACCGCTGGCTGGGTTTTCTCTCAAACTGCACACTTCTCCTTGCTCGGTTCAACTGCGTAGTTTGGAATTCCGTCTTCCCACTGTATCTGAACCGTGAGCCCATCCTGAAAAAGTTCTGCCTAGCCGAAGGCCCTTTGACCGGAGCTCGGAGACGGAAAAACGCATGATGTTCTACAGCACACTTCCAAAGGTGTTTACAAGCCTTCTCGTTATGCAATCTAAAAATTTTAAAAAAAATCCAAACTTATGATCGATTGATTGAATTTGAGACAAACACAATGAAAATGATCTTTTTTTATTAGTAAACTGACTGTTACAAATAATTTGATGTTAGTAATTAAGTGCCAAAAATTCATTATCTTCATTAAAGATTTACATATTACATTTATACTCTGTCAATAAACAAACAATGCTAAAATTAGTACGACTCACCTAAAGATAAATGTGTGCTCCTGTTCTCTGCCCATATCATCATCTTCAACTACAACTAATGTTAATTTCTTTTTCTTAAAGTCTAACTTTCCTATTTTGGGCCTAAAACGACAAGACAAGTGTGTGTTTTAATCATAAAGCATGCATTCAATGCAAGGCACAATGTTAAGTGAGAACGACAAATTGAGTTTTACCAGAAGAAAAGGCCAATTTTTTGATTCCCTTCAAAGACCAAGATTCCAGTCGGCGTCAGACCCAACGAATACTCACATCCATCTTTTCCCTGTGGACCATAAATACAAGTATTAAAATTTTATTACATAACAAAGTATTAAACTAATGTTATAAACTCACTAAAACAATGTGGTTATCAACACCGTACATCTCAAGCCATTTGACTTTATTTAAGTAATTCGTCTCAGCTTGTGCTGGAGTCAACCCTCTGAAAATAGTAATATTTACATATATTAATTTGAATACTTAAAATCAGCTAACTTTTAAATATATAAGTTGAACCAGGAACTGCAGAAGCCGAGAGGTCAGCATGTAGACTCTCAGCTCGTACGATCGTGGGTTCAATTCCCATTTTTCATGATAGCCTTCCCCCCCCCCAAAGAATAAAATTAAAACCATCACTCTGATGTCACTAGATAAATTGCAAGATAATGATATTAAAAAATAAATTAATAAAAAAAAATATGTTGAACCCATGACTATAATTTGTTGGATTCGTGATGAGCAGTCAAGAATGAGGCAGTTTAGAAAACACATTTTTTTGCCTACGTTTCAACTTTTATTCGGGTCGTTGGGGCGTAAAGTGTGGTGTTATTCTTGTGGTGTCATATTGGTGTTGTGTGAACTTGTGAACGACACCAATATGACACCACACTTTATGCCCTGAAGATGACCCGAATAAAGGTGGGAATGTTGGCAAAAAAAAAAAAAAAAGTGTTTTTCTAAACTACTCATTTTGAGAGCTCATCACGATCTAGCAAATAATTAAACAACCAGGGTTTGTTAGACACCAATTAACAGTACTTTTGTCTAGTTGTATTTAAGGCAGAATACTGTACACTTCACACAGATTGTGCTATCGGTATAAAAAAATTTGACTTTTATCTATAATTTAATTTTTTTAAATTTATTAACAGATTTTAATTAATATAGATTTAATTTAATTCAATTTTAAAATCCTTTTTTTCTTACAGCTTTCATAATAAAAAGATGATTGCACTTTGTATTAAAGACCAACAATTAGAAATAATTTAAATTATATAATAAATTTAATTTAATTATATAATAAATAAATAAATTTACAAAATAATGCATGTTTCACTATCAAAATGAAATAAAAATATAAAATGATAAATACTGAGATATATTTAGATATAATTATAATAAATAATTAATAATACATTTTTCTGAAGAATTAGTGGGTAACAATTTAATGTTAAAATTTACTTTAAATTTTCTCATTCCACCCTATCACTCAATTAATACATTTCTATAGGGCAAATTATGTTGTATAGGTGTATTTCTCACCCCGCATTTATTTACTTAGTAATCCTTAAAATTGGGAGAAAAAACAAACAAAACATCTCTACTAAATTCCCAAGCATGCCATTGTTTATATTATGCAATCAATTATCTTAAAAATCCCACAATTTCTCCACTTGTTCACACGATCCTGGAATATCCGATGTGTTCCATAATAATGTAAAATCGGGTTACGCAACATGACCGCATTTCACCCAAGGTTGTTTCAGCCTTACCTGCATTTCTGGAACTCTTCCAGGATCAAAAGTTCCATCTCCTCTGTCTGATTCGGAACGAATCTAAATTCAGAAATGTAAGCTGGCGTGTGGATTGTTTCATCGTAATCACCGAGTTCAGCTGGACAATTTAACACAAAAAAGTTTATTTATCGTTAAAAAACAAAAAACAAAATGAAAGAATGCATATTGTCAATAACCACATACATTGTAGAGCTAAAGCTGCCAGTTCAATGGATGTGCTCTCAGAACATTCTAATTTTCCTTCGAGGATGTCTGATTTGAGTTGAAGGAAGAACTGATACCTTGTTAGTTCTTCCCTCAAGCTGTTAGGTTCGGATGAATAGAATTTTACCCGTAGTCGTAGTGTAAAAGGAGGGCCAACTAGATATATAACAATTTGATTAATCATAAAATTAATAATTTTACACTCACCGCCGTACGTACTTTTAACCTGTTTTTTGACTGCTTTCGTAGGATCCAACCAATGCTAAAAAGAAAAATAATAAAATTTATAATTTTTTCTAAATTTAACGTATAGATGAGTAGGATTTAAATTGAACTTGTACATAAAGTGCAAGTTTTATGAGAATCGAGTGACAAAACAAGGATGTTTAAACAAAATAAATTATTTGTGATAAAACATAAACCAACTAATAAATTTAATATGCAAGCTCATAAGATCATTAAACATTTCTTTTGAATCCGACCTATTTATGAGAATTGTATGTAAAACAAATCAATTTTTGGCACAACAGATTTTGGATATATTAAAATGAACAAAACATGATATGTAATGTTAACATGAAAATAAAATGTATTACCACATTTAATATCAGTAGATAATGTTTATGGTCTACTTGGTTCACAAATGGTGTAAGTCCAAAATGCTAATTTTTCATGAAAGACAATTTAAAATTAAAGACTTCCAATTATTAAATAAATTTATAAAGGTAAAATACTGTCATTGTTAAATCATAACATTTGTTTTTAAAGCCTAACAATTATTAACATTAAATGTACCGTTGACAATAACCGGTTGTAAATTTTTGATTAGAAAATTCGTGCGAAATGTTAGAGCTTTTTCACATTTGACTTTGTCACTTTTTCTGTAAAACTGTCACTACAGGCAACATTTTTCCAAGCATATCCCTAGCTACCGAACTCCTATCAAAAAGGACTACATTAGTTGGACCTATTCACTCCAATAAAAGGGAATTTAATTGCTAATAAGAAGAAAAATAATACAAAATGGCAAAATTTTTCAAGTTAACTACGATAACTGTACTCTTATAATTTATTAAAGTAAGCCAAAGAAAAAAATTATTTTTACTAAGCTCCAAGCACAGATCTGCGGAAAAAACCCTCCAAAAGATAAAGCCTGTTGATCTGAGATCGTACCAACCTAAATTGACATGACTGATCAAATGGCAAAGAAATACAGCACAAAATTGAAATCTCACAGATGGCCTATCTATTCAAGTATTATTATATTTTCTAATATCCTTGATTTATTAGGCCTAAAATGCCTGAATTTCAATAAGGAAAAAATAAAATAATAATATAATAAGGAGAAAATGTATCGAGACAAGATTTTTTACTCCAGTTAGCAGTAGAATTTGCCGCTGATTAATGACAAGCCCGAGAAGAACAAACAAATAAAACAAAATAAATTCTCTGACAGATTCTAATAAATGTAAAACATGTCAAGTAAAGTATTGTAACGACAATAAAATCATAACAATCTGTTATAAATGTAAGAAATATGAGGTGATTAGTGACCGTTAGTCGATTCTCAACATGACACGCAAGAATGGCACAAATCCACAGAAAACAAACACTTTGAGCCCTGAAGATGATCTCAATAAAGATTGAAACGTTGGCACCATAAAGAAAACGTTTTTCTAAAACCTACATCACACCAGACCGCATCTAACAATTTACGAATAATGTAAGAAATATGTTTGTTGTGGAGGGAAAAAAATGAAATTAAGTTTTTAAAAAAAAGTAGAAATAGAAAAAAAATTTTTTGTTTAATTGTTACCTTAAAGTTACTTTCTTCACTCCATCAGGAAAAATAAAGTTTTGTCTAAAAACCGATCAATTGACAGGTTGTGGTACAAATAGGTATACATTAAATGTCAGTACTTTAAGTTTTAAAATACAGAATTAAGTTTGTCCCCAGATGATAAAATGATGAAATGATTTTTCAAATGCCAAACCAATTTTGTCTTCATCAGCTTTCTGGAATTTCCTTCGGTTACACAGGTTTTATATCAAGTTTAATATTATTATAATGGCACTTTAATTGGGCCATTGTTGTACAAATGGCATGAGGTAAAAATTAAAATTTCAGAAGGGCTATCAACACCTAAGTCATTTCTGCATCGAACGCAGTTTCTAAATCCATACTCATTCAGTCTTAAATACATTCGTCCCTATTTCCATTATTATTCTCTCAATATTCCTCTATCGCCCTTTACACCCTACTATTTAGCTCACATAATTGAGGGCTGATGGGTACTCGATATTCCACCGTTGATCCTTTCACATACACCACGCTAATAAGTACATTCAGTCCTCAACACACTAGGATACAACTCTCAGTATTGTATACAATAAAAGAAAAAATCCAAATATTCGTCAATTATCATACCGGGTGGTGGCATTCCTACAAACTTTCTATACAGAGCCAAGAAATTGCATTTCAATTAGGTGGGACACATCGAGCGACCTTTCTCTGCATGCCGAATACAGTTTCACCCAAAATTGTCCCAGTGTCAACCTAGCTTATTTTTAATTGGAATGGAATTAGTCAGGCCCTCTGAGTAGTAATAGAAAAAAAGTTGTAATGATTCACCAATTATGACTTCCCACTGTTGATTTGAATGATTCTTGGCATATGCTATTTGTCAGAAAATGAATATTATTCATTTCAAATTCACCAATAATATAATGTAATCAGTGTAATTGTTGTCCCAAAGTGTGGGATATGTTCAAACTAATGAATTTAGTTTGTTGTTAACAAAAATGTCACTTCTATTTTTCCACATCCATTTTTTAACGAACGCGTACGAAACATAAATGGCACAGATTTGATGCAGAACGAACTGTGTGAATGACACCATGCTGCACAATGTTTCCTAAAGCGCAGAAAGGGTAGATCTTTAATGAGGCCAAAAAACCCCAGTGGAATAATACCCCAGGCATGAGTAATGTGAAGAGGTTCGCAGAAGGGCCGTCTGCAAAACTCACAAAAACTTTATAAAATGTTTTAGGACTAAAAAACCTAATGAGACAAATAATTAGAGCTAGGAAAGAGCAATTAATCTTTTTCTTTGAGGTTCAGGTAAAAATGGGCACACTGTAAATAGGGTCCAAATGTAATCAAAAATAAGCCTAAAGATCTTGTAAGCCAAATGGAGTTTTTAAATACTTTTTTTTTTCAAACTGAAGAAAAATTATCTATGAAGATGTTACATACATTTTTAATAATTAAAAATATAACGGATTGCTGGAAAAATTAAAACAAATCAAAAAGGTCAGAGAACGGAACGTAGAACACACTAATTAAATAATTTATTTGAAGAGCTATGAAGAAAGGAATTTGATAAAACGTTTTTGAAGTATATGAAACAAAGGTTGATATTTTACCCACAGTTTGAAATCCAAAAGCCATCCGCAAAACTTATAAAGAAATTATTGGAAGGCAACTGAGACAGAATCAGGATCCTGGTTGGATTCCTGGTGACCACTGCCACCTAAGGTGTTAGGAGTACTGACAGAAACACTGCAGATACTGCCAGGAAGAAAACGAGACTGCGGAACTCAATGGTCATTGGTGCAGATTCTCGCAAATAGAAGAAAAGCCACGAGCAAGTTCACTACGTGCCGGCAAGGTTAGGTTGATTAACAACCTGGAACTGGCCAATGAGTTATAAAAATACAAGAGCACAATAAATCTACTGAGGTTGAGGTGAAGAAAGTCTTGTGGCCAACTCTTTTATCCCTATCCTCACTGAAAGAGACACCTCGATAGACTAGAAATCTGTATCTCATTTTGGTCTTTCAGTCTTCTTGTCTGAATGACCATACCTGTTGAGTGAACTTGATACCTGTCGTACCGATCACCTCCAGGCTTTACTAGACATTTTTTTGTCTTAAGCATACTTTGAAATATAAAATTTGTACCAGTAAAAATGTTTTAAACTATCTATGGGTGGTACTTAACTATTATCTTGTTCTCACTGATAAGAAATAATTGAAGTTTCACGGTGCATTAAAATGGGTAAAAACTGTCGGGGCACTTCTCAATTGTCAAAACACTTGTAATTTAATGAATTTTGATTTTGTTTTTTTAGGGTGGGGAATAAACCGGTCAGGATTATTTTTAGACGAGGTGATTTTGTGTCATTTTGCAACGTTTAATTTAAAAAAATGAAAAATAAAAACCTGGACGTTATTGGCATCTGTGAATTGGAGGCCGAAGTAATCTTTTTCGATCAGATCCAAAGAGTAGAAGACTTGTTCGTAAAGATCGCTCCCGATCGCCTTTTTCTGAAAAAAATAATAAAAATAATTTTAAAAAATTGAATTTTTAAAAGGAAAATTTAAATTTTGAAAAATTGCCGAATAACACTCACGGTCAGTTCTATGGACAGATCGCTTCCGTCCAGCATCAAGACCTTGCATTGCACTGTGTTCTTGTTGCCCAGGATGCGGTGGTGGCTGTCGTGCTTCAGGTGGGACGGGCTCTTCTGGTGGTTCCTGCCTTTCTTCCGACTGAGAAAACGGAGCATTTCGGTCTCAAAAATTGAAAACCCTTTTGTATATTGTTTTTTTTTTAAATATATTCAGACGCGGAAACGACAAAAACAAAAGCGCCTCTCCAAAAAAAAGGGGGAGAAAAAATGGGCAAAAACGAAGAAAAAACGGGCTACATTCTAAAACCACCAAAACAAACCTAATCACTAACAAGTCTAACAACTCTCCATTACGTACGCAAATGTTTTGGTTATGTGGTGACTGAGTTTTATTTATTAACACACCCGGCTTGTTTTTTTTCACATTTTTATTATACACAACAATAAATTTATCCAGGAATAATCAAAATTTAATCAACAACTGGAAATATATTGTTTTTATATTTATTAATCTTTAAAAATAACATGTTTGGTACTTAATCAAGAGTACTGCTCAACAGAGATGGCGCGTAGTGCGATTGGCGCCCCGACGCGGGAAAGGAGGTTTTTCACTAAGCCTTTCTTTACTTTCGTTTATGTTTTTGTTTCTCCTTTACTAAAATAAGTTCTTTAAATTCCATAGAAAAATAATATAATGGACGAAAGCGAAAAAGCACAGAGCGATCAAGAAGAAATTGAGGGTAAGTTTTTATTATAACAAGAATTTTATTGGTTGGAAAGACCTTATACCAAATATTCCACAACTTTCTTAATTTTCTGCCTTGTTTGTTTTTATTGTGTTTCTTCCACGTGGTCTGAGTGTTAATATTAAATTTTTCCAACGTTATGAAGATTTTTTTTAGATATAACGTTCGAAAAACAATATCATCTTTAATATTAATCCATTTATGTTTAGTGGCCTAATTGACCAAATTACTTCTTTCAATAATTTTTTTTTTTTAAAGTAAGGTCTTGGTTGAGATGAAAAAGTAGTGTAACAAGTGGATTCGAACCCACGACCTTCGGCCCAATACGCCACTGCTCTAAACACTTGAGCTATTGCGACTCCGATCTCCTCGGACACCAACTTCTCTCAACCTACAACTGTTAGAATTTTCCCTCTTTGCGATGATGAAAAAGTTAGTGTCACGAGTGGGATTCGAACCCGCGAGCTTCAGCTCAATATGCCGTAGGTTGAGATGAGTTGGTGTCCGAGTGGATCGAAGTCACAATAGCTCAAGTGTTTAGAGCAACGGCGTATTGAGCAGAAGCTCGTGGGTTCGAAACTTGCTCGTGACACTAACTTATTCATCTCAACCAAGACCTTACTTAAAAAAGAATAATTAATTAATAGACCTGTAATGTTAAACCTTAAACATATAATATACATGTCATTAATGATAATAGTTCTTAATAAAAAATGCATCGGTTCAAAAACAAATATAGGCAATTTTGCTATTACAGGAGGAGCTATTGTAGTAAAAACAAACAGTTGATAATGCTTTATTTACTTTTGTACTGATTAATCCCATTTGCACAAAATATAGCATTATGCCCTCCTGTTCATTTCCTTGGTTGATTTCATCTGATATTCTTAAACCTTTTTCAATGGTTCTGGTCAGGCAATTGAGCAGACATTGCCAGGGTTATAAAATTATTTGAGAAAGGGTTCTGCAGCGCTTCAGAGAACAGGGCTTTACACTAGAAAGCCAGGAAGGGGGTCAACCTAGGTCTACGGACGAGGGAGGCGATTCATTCATCAGGCTCCCGCACCTTTATGGGAAATGACATAAAAATATGATAAGACAAAGATTTCCTCCAGGACTGTAATAAGAAGGCTCAATGAAAATAACCCCAGGGCTTGGCACTCGTGTCGTGGATCTCTTCTGGAACAGATGAACTGGACATTGGAAGATTGATGACGAGTTCTCCTTAAAGATGAGGGAGACGCTCAGGAGAAATGTACATCCCGTGTTGTATGATTCCTCGGGTGGAATTTCCTTGGACGGCCACACTGAATTGGTTGTTGTGCGAGGAAAATCTCTATCTTCATTCGATCTTCACTTACAAGAATAATTGAAGATCTTGTAGTGCCATTTGCCCCCCCCCCCCACATCGGTGTGATATTCTTACTAAAGCAGGATAAATCCTCATAGATCACGTATTGTGGATGAATGAAAAACTGTTATATTTACAATATAAACCAAAATACTAAGGAAAGAAGTAAAACAACAGTAAATTGACAATGGATCGAAATAATAATGAAAATTCTATATGCATTAAAAATATATATATACAGTAAAACTGGAGATAAGTTTCATAAATTTGAGGTGTTTCTACTCACCATATGCAACAAAAAACTTCCTATAAACCCCTGTCCAAATCTCAATGGTAAAGAAGTGATTTCAGGTTTTGGTTTTTTTAAACATTTTTTGTCTTAGGACCACTAAATTGCTTATAAGCTTTAGAATTACTGACTGTAGAAAAATCTGGTTTGTGCCACTTGAAAGAACGTTAAATTTTGTATGAGGAAACTTATTTACATTGGAGAATTGATGGAAAAATTCAGAAAAAAAAAATTGAAATTTGGAATTTTTTGAAAATGTTGGATTAGTAACTGTTATTAATTACAAACTCCTTGAGCTTTGCAAATTCTCTCGAAATTTCCCCGTTCAATTAGCTTCCAGCGGTATACCCACCTTTTTGGATTGTGTTTCTGGAAGGCCTAAAAAATTTGCATTTTGTTGGGGGGGAAACTGGTGTTTCCACCGTAAACATTAATGAAGGGGGCATGCTCAATTTTTTCAGGAAATCCGACTGGTGTTCAGTGATTCATTTTTCATCACCTGTTGCCAATCTATGAAGAAAGGAGTCTTAAGAGTGAAGAGCAAATTGAGATGCAGTCATATAGCGTACTTTTGAACAAACCCAAGCCTTTGGATGTGGTTTCCATTGGTTGTATGGGAAACATTTAACATCTAGTTCTTTAATTGCCAAAAAGTGATTTTCTTCTAGTTTCAATGCATCATCATCCTCAGAAGGACGTCCACTGCATCATCTTCAAGAACGAAATTTCCTTCTCTAAATCAAGCAAACCACCGTTGTTGGACTTTATGAACATTTACTGCATTAGTACCAAACACTGCCAGTTTTATGTTGCAGTTGGATTATTCCCTTTTTAAATTCATAAAGTAAACACCTTAAATGCATTTCATCCAAAGACATGATTACTTATTAAATTATTTGACACAACTAAAGAAGTTGAAAACAGAAACTGAGGAGAAATAAAAAATTTTAATTTAGGGATTAAACAAACACATTTTAAAATAAAAATAATATAAAAATGTAAATATTAAGCTAATTAATCCTATAATTGAAAAAGACATTACTTTATTGACAAACCAACATATAAGAAATATGTTGAGTTGGAACACCTCAGAAAAATTGTGGTAGTCTGGGTACCTGGACAAATTGGGCTGGAGAGCAACGAACATGCAGACGAGGTGAAAGCTGGGACGTCATGCTGTCTAAAAGAACGCTACAAGCAATAAAAGAACATTGCCTTGTAAATGGGCCAGATCGTCCGAGAAGCTCTTGTGTATTAAGAGCACTACTGAGCGAAAGAAGGATCGTGCTCACCCATTTTGAGGATAGGCTGTACTGATTGACACAGACACCTGCTTTTGTGGTCCAGTTGGTTGAAAAATGTCACACTTTGACCCCTTGATAAGTAGACATGGCATCCAACATAAAATCTTTGAGCATGAGAGTATATTGGGCCCCTTGTTTCGATTTTTAAGGAATGGGGTTGTTTCCCCATCTTTAAATACTATTTGTAATTATTGTGTAGCTCTACAGCTTAAATGAAAAAAAAACATTAATGGGGAATGCAGGAAAGATGGGAAGACTTTGATTTTGCTGACATTTTCCTCTTGGAGTCAAAGATAAGCAACCTGCAAGCCAAAATAACCACCCTAAACATTAAAAAAAAGGAAAAGAAATGAGAATAAATACTAGAATGAATAGGGCAGAATGGCGGCTGATATGGCTCTATTGTTGGTAGTGGTAGCCTGGCATAAATAAAAAATAGCCTGGCTTAGAAGCTCTGGGGTAAATGATTTGAGTGCAATGAAAAGATTTGCAGAATTTTCTGTACTGGAATTTTTTTACTTTTTTTACAACATTATGGATTGTGTGATTGGATACATAGAAGGAAGTGTTTAATATTTTTTTGGGAGGGTTTTCAATTGGGAAATCTGAATTGAACCCCACAGTTTGATACCTTATTTTCATATTGGTTTTATTATTTTGTTTTACATCAAACATTTATCTGAAAATCGCAAAAGTCTAATGTCTTGTCAGTTCCTGCTTTTTAACTCTAGAGTGTACATTAGTCTATGTCGATGTACATTCGAGGTAGCGGACGTGGTTAACTATAGGAAGAATATGGTATGGTGTAGCTATAGTGGAAAATATGACATTGAACCATAAAGATTATGCTGGCTTTGAAAGTTTTTTCCAGCACACAGTTGGGCTATTAAGATAAATACAACTTTTATAGACACATTAATTGTACAAATAAATGAAAATAAAAACCTTAATTAAATTATTTTTTGTAGATTTCTCGTCGGACATTCTCTTATTTGTAAATTATACGATCTTACTTCTAAGATAATAAAGTCGATCAAATTTGTTATGCAATACATCTGCCAATGTGAGGCATAGGATTTCTTGGACATTTGTACTGAAATGAGAGTAAGACAGGGCTGCCTGCTCAGCCCTACACTTCTTACATTATACATAAATGATTTTGAGGCGTGCTTAGATGGTGGTGGCAGAATGAAGAGCTTCCTTTAATGCTTAAAAAAGCATCGTCCACAAACATAAAAATGTAAAGATATAAAACCTTCAGTGTTCTGTACGAAGCCATTAATAAATATTAAAAATAACAGAGGGCCAAGTATGCAACCCTGTGGTATTACAATCTTGATTGAAGTGAAAAGCTCCAAATTTCAATATTTTCCATATAATGAAGTAAACTGTGGTCAACTAAGTCAAAAGCTTTGTAAAAGTCCAACTATATGCCTGCTGCTTTGCATTTATTTGATTTTAATTAAACTAAGCTATTAATTATTCTACTGAGTGTCTTTTGTCGAAAATAACTTAATAACTAAACCCTAATAACTAAAAATTGACTTTCAGACATAAATCTGATTTTTTTAATATAAATTATCTCTATTGTAGAGTAGTGTACACTCAAATTAAATTATGATAATATAATAGTTGATTTTTGTAGAAGTGTCGAGTTCAAAAAAGGGCCTACTCAGTTCTGATGATTCCGACTCGGAGGATGAAATCGCACAAGATCGGAGTAAAAAGATGTCAGTTCTCAAAAAGAAAAGGGCGACAATCGACAGCTCTGACTCAGAATCTGAAGGGAATGACAACCTTAAAGAAAAACTGAGCAAGGATTTATTCACAGAATCGAGCGATGACGATGCAAAGGTAAATCGAGCTGTTGGTCATTTGTATAAAACAAAAAATAATTCAAAACATTTCAGCCACTTGAAACAAGCTTCGAGCAAAATTGCGAGCCAAAGAAAGTAGATAAAAGCGAAAAACGGGCCGTGAGTATACAATTAATTAAATTGTCGTTTATTATTAGCCAAAAAATATTTTTTATTCGTTTCAGGGTCCTGGGAGAAAATCAAAACAGAACGCTTTAGAGGAAATAAGAAGCGAGACACAGCGTATGATCAGGGAGTCAAAAATTTCTCTCCCATATCATAGACCGAAGCAAAGGAGCCTTTCGGATTTCCTGAACAGGAGGAAATCAATTCCTGGCATTCCTCTTCGCAGTAGTTCTAAGGAAATTACAAAAGTTTGGTAATAAGATTAATTTTCATTTTCAATTTCTCACATTTTAGCATATTTCAGTTATTGATTTTTTTTATTAGGAAGCAAATTGAAGAAATGGAAAAAGAAGCTGAGTCATTTTATATGTCTGAAAGTGACAATGAAGATGTCTCGAATGATAGTCCTGATAATCAGAATAAAGAGGACAAGGATGAGTGCGATGTAACCATTTCTGGTTTGACATGCTCCACTGAATCTCATCAGATGGCTGGTTCTGAAGAGTCCGCACAAATGAAACACGCCGACAACAACTCTGGTTCAACCCAAAACGATAATTTATCAGAACTCGACCTTCACCTCACGATGACCGAAGAATTCAAAAATTCCGAACGACAGAATGAAGAAATCGAAACGAATCAGTCACAATCGACATTGGATGGAACCATTCAGGATGAAAAAGCACTGAAAGTGTCGAATAAAATTCAAGACGAGAGTGAAAAAATGTTTTTGAATGCTACTCTGAATAAAATTCCAAAATTAAATGGCACACCTGACGAAATGATAGATTTAGAAGTAACAAAACCAAAACAAGGCGCTCTCGGGCTTTTGAAACGATTCATTAAGCACGCTTCTATAAAAACTAAAAAAACCTTAAAAAATGATGTTACTCTCAAGTAAATAATGAAAATATTATGTACAATATATAAAATTACTTCCATTATAACACGTTTTTTATTACAGCATTGTGTCAAGTGAGATAGATGAAAAAGGCGAAATTATAAATATCAAAGAAGAGACTGTTAAAGTCAAATCGGGTGAAAGTGCCAAGCCGGGGGAAAGCCTGGTTAAACTAAAAGCCACCCTGCAACAAAAAATCGCCCTATCGAGAGAAGAACAGCTCGCAAAAAAACACGAAGAATTTAAACTATACGAAGAAGAGATCTATGAAGGTAATTAATACGTTATTATCTAAAAATAACAAATATATCCTGTTTCTCTTAAAGGTGAGAAAGATGTCTGTGATCAGCTACCGAGTGAAGATGAAGAATTTGAAATAGAAGATTCCGAAGGATGTTCGAGTTCTGACGAGGATGATGAAGACAAAGAAAAAGAGAAACTATTTGCTGACAGTTTAGCTGAAGAATCTGATAATGAGGGTACATCATTATTTTAAATTTATAATACATTGCGCCATTTTTTTTTTAAATGCTTAATTTATTACTTTTAAGCTTTATGCTTATTATAAGTACTTTATAGATTATATACTCACTAAAACTAAAAAATGCTATTCTTATAGAGGTATATTTGCTTTACCTCATCTATTGTTTAAATTAGCATTGTTAAATTCACCTTTCCTCGTCACTATCCATTGTAATATATTTTAGTTGATGGTGATGAGTGTTCTCAAGTGGGAGAAAATTCACAGGACACTGCTCTAGTGAGAGATGAAGAAAGTAGCCGATCTTCTGAGGTAAGTTATGAAATATCGTTTTTAATAATAAAATTAATAAAACAAAAACAAAAATAGAAAGCCTTAACAAATTTTCCCTTTGGGAAGTACATTATGAAGTGCTTGATGTTGACTTCAAGTGTCACTTTAGAGATTAGATAAGCTGAAATAAAATTTTGTGGTTGCAAGCAGCCCCAATTAAAAAAAAAAAAAAAAAAAAAAAAATTGAGACTACAACACGTTACAAATACAATGTGTAGACAAATTGCATAATAACGCCCATTGTGTAGACCTTTTACACATTGAGAACAATTAAGATTTATCACTGTACTAATTAACATGCTTGACCTATCTTTTTCTTTTCTATTTTTTAGTCTGTATCATCCCAAAATAATTATACAGAAGAAACTATTAAAGTACCTACTTTACACGGTAAGGAACAATTTTATTAATAAATTTTAATTATCTCAATATTTTATTAACATGGTATGGATATTTTCTTGATTAGACACAACCCTTTATAAATAAGTTCTATTTTATTTTTTTAAATAATAATAATATTTAATTAAAATTGTAAATAAAATAAAATAGTATTTATAGACTTTTGTCTAGAGAAAATATATCTATTGTGTTAATAAATGATTTAAAAACAACCTTCAAAAAATTTAAAAAAAGCAATAATAACAATTTTATATCTATTTTAGTCTTTTAATATATAAAGTTAACAAATTAATTAGCAAACCACCGTAGCTGAGTGATCAGCTTGTTGACCCCACTGACATGGGTTCAATTCCCACTCGGCTAAAAAATTAAGTTAATATAAATCATATGACTGTGGATTTGAATTTTTAAAAAACTTTTTTTAAGTAATTGAAATATATTTAGTCAAAAATTTACAACCTTCACTAGAATATGTTTGTTTGAGGCATTGGCGGCTACAATGATTAAGCCCATCAGTGTAAGGTCCTGGGTTCAAATCCAGCAGTCCCCCCTCCCAAACCCAACATACTTACAAAGGGCTTTTTCCATTTTTAGTTTTTTTTAATGTATTTATTTTATTTTTTATTTTTTTTAAAGTAAACTCATTACTTATTTAAACATTTATTTGGACATTTCGGGAATTTACACATATCAGAATCATTTGATGAGTTCCTTTCCTGGGTGGAATGTTTTGCCAGATTTATACATTTTTGGAGGAATTTTTGTCTTATAGGGTTTTTTAAGTAATTAATTTGTCTTTTTTAATTAATTAATTATTTAATTTTTTGGTCTTTGGGTTTTTATTGAAAAAAACTTCCTTTTTTTAATTAATTATTTTTTAAAGTATATTCATTACTTATTTAGACTTTTTTTAAACATTTCACGAATTTACTCCTATCAGCATTGATTTACACGTTCCTTTACTGGGTAGAATGTTTTACCAGGTATATCCTTTTTTGAGAAATTTCTTCTTATAGGTATTTTTTAAAGACTAATTTGTCTTTTGTAATCTTTTGATCTTTGTTTTAAAAAAATTATTCCGTTTTTTTGTTAATTTTTATTTTTTAAATGTGTGGTGTTTAGTGACCGTAGTCAATGATTATTTAGAGATCGTGAGATGTGGTCTGGTATTTATTTTTGAAGTAAATTCATTATTTATTTAAACATTTATTTGTACGTTTCGAGAATTTACACCTATCAGCATTGTTTCCTGTGATCCTTTCCTGGGTAGAATGTTTTGCAGGTATATCCTTTTTCAAGAAATTTTTTCTTATAGGTGTTCTTTTGAGACTAATTTGTCTTTTTTAATTTTTTGGTCTGTTTAAAAAAACTATTCTATTTTGTTTGTTTTTTATTTATTTAATTACTTTAAAAAAGTAAATTCATTACTTATTTAAACATTTATTTGCACGTTCGGGAATTTACACACATCATCAGGATTGTTTGATGTGTTACTGTCCTGGGTGGAATGTTTTGCCAGATTTGTCCATTTTTGGAGGAATTTTTTTATAGGTTTTTTTAAAACTAATTTGTCTTTTTTAATTATTTGGTCTTTGGGGTCTTTGTTTAAAAAAAACTTTCTCTTTTAAAGTAAATTCTTTACTTATTTAAATTTGTTTTTTGACATTTTGTGAATTTATCCCTGTCATCACCATTGTTTGATGTGTTCCTTTCGTTAGTAGAATATTTTTCCAGGTATATTTAATGTTTGTTAATTTATTTATTAATTTATTCAATATTTATTTATATTATTTCATATATTTATATTTTATTGTTATAGAATTGATGAATGAAGAATCTGTTGATGACAATTTACTTGCATTGTGCTCTGGGAAATTTTTCAGCCAACCCGTGAACTTGGCAGATTTGGAAAAGGATGATAAATTGGTATAATTAAAGTTGAAGTTTTTTTTTCTCCAAAATTATTTAATCTTTTTTTCCTTGACAGAACTGTCCGATCTCTGAAGACATTGTGAGTTCGTCTAATGAACTGTGAATATGACATATAATTTTTTTTATTACACGTTTTGCTTCTTTTTACTTTATTTACATTTTTCTTTTAGAATTAAAGACAGAAACAACATTACATCTGATGATGAAGACGATGACTTTGGTATTTCGAAAAGCAAGAAATGCAAAAAATTAGTATTTTCAGGTATGCATTTTATTTTTTGCTTTGTTAAACGTTTACCTTTACACTTTTATTTTTATTACTAGATGATGAAGATAATATTAATGATGATGATAGCGAAAAAGTCGACGAGGAGAGTGACTCAGATAACGGTGATGAAGAAGTTGAAAATGATGGAATTAATGAAATGGATGATGAGGAAGTAGAAGATGAAGAAACTGAAGTTATTATTTTTTAATTTTATTACAATTTGTTACTTGCAAATAAAAAAACTATCAGTTATTTAGAGTGTAGTATAAAAGATCTATTGGTCTAACTTGCCATGGTTTTGTTTTTCAATTTAAGTGGATAAAATTATTTCTTAATGTATTTTTATGTGAACAGCTGGCGAGAAAAATCAGTAAGGGGTATTTAGACGGAGAAGCCGAGCTTTCAGAATCGGATTGGGACAGCGCAGATGAAGACGAGAGAGGGTTGGATAATTTCGAAGCCGAGGAGGGCGACACGGACAAAATCAACGAGCGAAAGCTCCAAAAAGAACTCGGAAAGATTCACATGTTTGTATTAAATAAGACTTTTTGTAAACTCGACGAAATTCAAATTTAATTTGAAGAATATCTTACCAGGAGAGAAATAATGGCCGAAGACAAACGTGAAATTCGTTTGCTGCAAGAGCTGTTGTTGGAAGATGGCGATTTGCATTCGGATGGGCCTAAAAGAAAAAGGCTTTTCCGTTGGGCTAATCAAGGTAGAAACAATTTATATAAAAAGTTATTTATTTTAAAAAAAATATGTATGATTTATTATGTAGATGATGATAATGTAAACATTATCCGTGCTCTTGATGATGATAATGAACTCGAGGAAAATGAAAATCATGAGGATGAAGAAGCATGGAGAAAGGAAAGGCTTGAAAGGGAAAATTTCTTGAAGCAAAAAAAGGTCATTCTTTATTAACACTAATAAATCTATAATTTTATAATTAATTTTATGTTATATTAATGGATTTGTTTTTGATAGATTGATAATTTAAACATCGTCAGTGATGATTCGAATTTAAATATCAGTAAGGCAAGTGTTAAAAATGTTTTGAAAACAAACGACTTCGCTTTGAAATCTCCTGACCCAAAGAGCAAGTTTAAATTAATGGTATGTAAAAACTGTTTTTGGTTTTTAAATTGCTTCAAATAAAACAAATCTTTGGACAAATTTTTCAGACGAATCGTGGGTCGTTTTTAACAAGGGGTGAGAAAATATTATCAAGAATCGCGACGATGACATCCGGCACTGTTGAAAACCCGTTGGCAAATTCGAGAGGGCGGAATATGGTGTTCGCAAGGATCTCGCCTTCAAAGGAAGCTCAAAAGAACAATAACGTAAGTATATTAGCATAATTTTAAATTGTTTCAGTTTAAATAATTACGGATTATTTTTCATTTTTTTTTAGTTAACAAAGAGGAAAGGGGAAAATTTAGAACCAAAATTATATAAAAAAATCAAAACAGATCAAGTAAAAAAACCGAGCATATTCGACAAGTTAAAAATGTCAGATTAATTTTTCCTTGTTTTATGTTATGACTTTTTATGTTTATGTCATAGTTTATTTATTTCATTTGAAAATGTACATTTGTATTATTACTGTAAATAAAAGATAAGTTTTGTTCAGACTGTTTGTAAAGATGATGAAATTAGTCTAGTCACATAAAATAAATAAAATATTTTATTACCACAAAATACACAGTACATGGCTACGTCAATTAAAATACATAATTTATAAATTTCCTATGAATAGTACTACAGATTAAAATTTCAGGAACTGTAAAAAAAGTATTCTGAAATGAAAAATACTTCACACTTTCAGTATGGAGGACGCTCAGGTGTGTCCTAAGTTAAAAACCAATTGGCCGGTGGGACGCTCTCGGGTGTTATTTTCTTTTGACAATTTGTTGCTGCATGTAGCTTTATGTAGAAAAGTTCTACTTGCCTCTATCCAGCCTCATTTTGAACCAAGGCTTTCTATAGTGCGTTTCGCCCAACCAGTTCCAACTCCTGTTTAAAATTTTTTTTTCTTTTTGTCTCAAAATTCAGCAAAATGTGTATTAACAGGTATGTATATGCATTTATTTCTTCAAACTGATATTTCAGAACTTACTTCAAAAAAGAACGTATTTTCAGATAAATACTGACGAAGACAAAGATAAGTACAAAATGGGTAAAAAGGTGAGTGTATTAGATTGCTTGTATATGTACATTATTTTTTTTTATCGGACATTGGACTTTTTTTATTACTATACTATAACACCAGCAGTATTGCGTAGGCTGTGATGAAAGTGTGTACACGACTATTAACTACCGAGGGCTCATCCGGCCCTCGTCGGTGTGATGAACATCTGGCGTAAGAAAGTACGGTCAACCACGTCAGTGTATTGATGTGTGTAGATGCTACCGGTTGTATCACGACTTTCAATTTCTCAAAAAGAGAATGAAATCCACCTTCTTCCCTTTCCAAAAATATAGGATGTACCCACAATGATCTTTTACTTGTTTCTTTTTATTTTTTGTTTTTTTCTTGTATAACAGTAGGCCAATAGTTTTTTTCTTATTGTTCGACATATATACGTGTAGTCTTCTTAGCTACCAGTTTAAAACTGCCCAACAAACTGGATCTCAGAAAAAATCGCCCCACCGATTTTTTTTTCACCCCGAATTATATTTTCCATCTTGCATAGTAAACAATAATGGTTTAGCAAGAAGAAAGATCCAAGAATATGCCTGATACTTTAAGCTTATTTGATTTTGTCGAAATTAACAATTTTCAGATATGAATCCAATTTTCTGAACAAATTTGGATAAATGCCTGTAGATAAGATGCAATTCATTTTATCAACTAATGGGTCCATCAGCCCAGACACATTCATGAAGAAATATAGTACGGTATTCATTAAGTACTCAGGAGTTTCCTTTTTTTTAAGAGTTAATAACACCGTGAAGTTCCGACCGTGTGCAAGAGTAAAGAAAATTCTTGGTTGTGGAAAATGATTGGAGACCAAAGGAGAAATCTGAAGTTTTGGAATATTTGAATAATAACAAATCAAAACGATAACAATTTTATTTTTATTTATATAAAAATACACAAATAGAAATATTTTTGACAGTCTTATTAACCAGTTAATAGGTAACTTTTTGTAAATCCTGAGTTACAAATTAATTATTACGAATTTTCTTCATCAAACCATCCCTGTTTTGCGAGGGCATTACACATTGCATTATTCATACTGTTGAGCGCAAAACTTCTCCCCGGGGCTTGAATTGTTGTATTACTTGTTTTTTTAACTTTGTGTTTACTGCCCATCACCTGTTCAACTTTGTAGGTGGTATACCTGAAAATGTGATCGGTAATGTTTTGTTTCTTTAAGTAAATCTTAAAGGATTTACCTCACTGTTAAATCAGGCTGGTCTAACTCAAGGCACATTGCAATCCCGTCGCCAAAATTCAACGATGATAACAAATGCAGTTCGGGTGTTGCGAACAAATTGAATTCGACTTCGGTTTTCACAAAAGGCAGATTGAGACTGATTTTACCCTCAAATGCCAAACCGGCCCTGTTTTGAAATTTGTTGATTAAAAAAACCAAAAAAAAACTTTAAAATTATACATTACTTGTTTTGAACCAGTGTGTTTCCAGTTTTGTACCACAAGCTTAATTTATTCTGACCAGACAGGTCGACTGAAGCTCCGGACATGAATGAAATTTGGGCGATGTGTCCGATTCCAAGAGGTAACGCTACAGTGTCGTCATCGAGGAGGACCAATGCCTAAAACAGAAATTTTTTAATTGTGTTTTCAATTTGCTGTTTTACGCTTTTTACCTGATAAGCAGGGGTCAAAGTAGATGCAGTCCCTGCGAACACATGACTCATCAACTCTCCGTTCCCATCGAAAAAGACAAACGGCCTTAAACTGACATTCATCACCCTGAGCTGCATACCGGCTGTTAATGCGTCATCACTTTCATCTTCGGCAGATGAAACAAACGATGATAAACCTTTAGAATATAAGCCCAACTGAAAATAAATTTTTAGAATGCTTCAATATAATTTGTTACAAGTAGAAGATGGAAAAAAATTTTTGCACTGGGGTAACCAGATTCAGCCGAGCAGTTGTCATGGCAGGATAGAGACGATGAGATGGTATGAAAAGAAAAATTGGTTTCTGGACTTTTTTATGGTTTTCATCGGATTGCAGGACTCGGAGGACCTCTTACAAAATTGTCAAGTGTGACAGAGAAAGGTTGAAAGAAACCAGGTGGTAGTTTAATTTATTTAGAGATGGACGTTCCGAGCTATAAAGCCCATCTTCATTCAGCATTACAAGCGTGGAATTTTGAGACATGACAACACTGATCAATACGGTTCATTTCAAAGTTATACATAAAACTATGGGTTAACACAACAATGATGTGGATAACAGAAAATCCTATATACAAGTAAACATTACCCTTATTAAAATTTAGTTTTTTTGCACACAAAAATGTTCATATGGGTTGGCCAACAGAAAATTAGCTGTTAAGTTTCAAACAAGCGTTAACTTTTCTTTTACTTTATGTACATGTATTGTATGTATTTAGCTATTTATTTTATTTTAGTTGTTATTGATCACTCCCTGGAAAAATAGTGCGGCACCCCTATTTATATATTTAATCGCAGTTGAGTTGGTTGTCACAAAACCCGTGTGTTAAAAAAAGTTAACAAAAGGCAATTGTTAGAAAAAATCTCTTTTATACTTCATATCAGCGATGATCAGACTGGTGCGTCACAGATTTGGGCCACTTTTTTTTTCTGATTCTGAACTAAAATTTTGGATACACCATTCTGGCGAATAGGCCCTGGTTTTGCCCCCCCCCCAAAAAAAAAAATTAAAATAAAAATAAATAAAAAATGAAATTTTCTGTTTTTTAAATATTTTGATTTCACCTTTCTACTTGCTCAAATAAGCCAAGTGAATATACCATTTTATAAAAATTTTTATATCATAATTAATTAATGTTAATAATGCAATAAAAATGTATCAAAAGCTATCAAAGTTTATTAATCCTAAAAAACCATTAGTGTTTGAAGGTAAAAAAAAGTTTTTTCAAAATGTCTAAAAACCAAATATTTTTCAAGTAAACTAAATTCATAAATTTTTGTGTGGAACTAATAATAAGAAATTTTGTTTCAGCACCTCTAGAGACCCATAAATATAAATTTTATTTGAGTTTAAAATTATAATTTTTTTTAAAATGCAAATATTTTTTATGATTTTAGAGAAGTCGTTATCAGAATATCTGACTAAAACGGCTATAATTCAAAAAATGGCTAAAATGATTTAATGCCACACAGATCATTTGAAAGAAGAGGAATTTAGCTTTTTTACGATACGTATGTACCATTATAATACATAAATTATTATATATAAAATAATGTATATAGCGGAACTATTTGCCAGAAATTAACCTCTTAATATTATATTATTATTTTTTAAAGTGCAATTTTGTTTGATAGTTTGATGCACTTGATACCCTAGATTATGAATTTAAATTCAAAAGTTGCAATCAATGTGTACATATTGGAAGTAGCCTGAGCATATGTATAAAGCTAGATAAATGGCGTTCTATGAGGCTCCGTGTTAAGTCCCCTTCTCTTTTTAGTGTATGCCAATGACATTTTGCGCACTAAGGATCTAAAAGGAACATTAACTGCCTATGCAAATGTTATTTCTCAATACTCAGGAAAATCTTGGAATGATAAAGAAAGACAGATGTCTGACATGAGACTTATTGGTGGAAATTATATCGACAGATATAAAATAATTAACTAAGATATGTGATGTCCTATAAATAGCATGTTGCTTCAACCAAAATTAACAGTTATTAATTAAGGTTTTTAGTTGAGATAAAAAAAGTCAGTGGCACGAACGGGATTCGAACCCCACGAAATTCGGCTAGATACGTCGCTGCTCTACCACTTGAGCTATTGTGACCTCAATCCTCTCAGACACTAACTTCCCATCTCAACCCCACCTTTTTGAATTTTCCCTCCTTTTTGCCATTTTTCAAATCCAAAGCTATGGTGACACTGACTTTTTTATCTCAACTAAAAACCTTAATTAATTGAATGATATTAATTGGTCAAGCGGTCCACAAAAAATAGTGAATTAACCGTTATGTTGAATTGTTTTTGGTTTGTAGGCCCTAAGTGGTTCTATTTGGTCGTAATGAGATCAAATGTGAAATAAATACCAAAACATTTTCTAAAAAAGTCAAGTGTTGGCTATTTGAGTATGTGGCTAAAAACAATAATTAGTACCTACTATTTAAAAAGGAAAATTATTTATTTTTGTGTTTGTTTTAACAAGTTGTAACTATTATTAACTAACGGTCACTAAACACTACACACTTATTATTACAATTTTTTTCTCTCTCTATGTTTAGTAATGTTTCACTCCCCATTCACTAGTTTTTCCCTCAACCTTCTTCTTTTTACCACTGTATTGCTGGCAGCCCTTAAAAAGGATCTACCTCGAGGGAGTCACCAACTTTTGTTACATAAATATATATAGTTTTCTTTTGTACTAGGAAATTTGTACCAATTTTAAATTTTTTTCTCTACTATATATTAGCCTAATAAAGTTGGTAAAAAAACAACCAAGAAAATCGATCACTAGTTTTTGAGAAGAAATATGGTAGAACTTGTACTAGGAAAGGTCTGTCAGGCAAAAGTCAAAAAATTAATTTACACCAATTTCTGTGAAAGACGGTATCTTATGGTTTTATAACACTAGAATCGGCAAACTGACAATACAACAAGACCAGTAAGACAAGAAAATATAAAAAAAATATATTAAAAAACAGAACAAATTATTTGGCGAAACCAGGTTCTATTCAAAATTCCCTTGTTAGTTTAAAGTATAATAATAAACTTTTTTCATTTGTAAGATAATTGTGTACAATAACAATGAGAATAAAAATATTTATAAAATGCCAAAATCAATTGGCGTTTGTTTCACAATTGGTATAGTAAATACTCACTGAGAAAGCTGTGCTTGCCTGCCCTTCGTTCAAAATGTCGACATTCACGACACCACTTTTTAAAATGCTATTGGAAATTTCCTGCACAGTCGACAGCCTTCCCCCGTCCATAAATGTCCTGTGGAATGTAGTCGAGAAGCCTGACAAGGCTTGACTGTCGTAATTGTTCCTCCTGTTGTCGCGTAAAAAAGTGTTCACTTTCTTCTTTAAACCTTCATTCCTTCGCCAAAAAGGATTTAAATTAATTTTTACAATTAATAAAAAAAAATGAAATTTTTACTTTTCATAAAGCCCTTCGAGTGAAATCATTAAATATTGTTTCAATTCTTTACTGACGTCGTTGTGTTTTAATACCGATAATATTTTCATCAGTGTGGCATTGTCGTTAATTTTAGTTTTGAGAAGCATGTCCAATGAGATAATCCTTGCTGTGCTGTCATAAGTTGAATTTGCTAAATAAACCTCCTCGGCCAAGTCTAAAACTTCTTTGGTCCAGTGTTTAGCATCAATTTTTTGCAATGCACTCATTATTTCTACAATCAACCTAAAATAACAAATTAGTTTGAATAATAAGCTTTATGATTTATAACTTATAGATGATTTGTTAAATCTAGAAAAAAAGTTAATTCTTGCTAAGAAGGATATTTTGTTACGATGTCACAAGCCAGTAGCTTCTAAATAAATGCATTATACATAGCTGCATGTATAAATTTACAAACCTTTTGTTGAAGATTTTTTTAAATTGTAAAAGATAGCTTAGAGTTTTAGGGTCTGGAATGTTCACAAACGCTCTCATATAGACTTTTTGACAATCGAAATCTTCGTCTTCACACCGGTTTAAATGATTTATCAAAAAATCTATCCCCCTTTGAAGCAGCTAAAACAATATTTTTTTAAATTATATTCTCCGGCTAATAAAGAAAATAGGTATTACTTTGTCATTTTCAGCGTCGTCAGGGTTTTTTTGAGTATATGAATATACCATCGCCGGAACTGTGAGGACGATAGTCTGCCACAATTTAGCATTCGAATGTCGACTTTCACCCAGTTCGAAAAGATCTAAAGAATATCACAAGGATGTAGTATGAATTAATAAAAAATAATAATCCTGAAAGACTGACCGTTAATTATAAAAAGTTGAGGATGAGGATTAAGAGATAAAGCCCAGAGGTACCTATCGCAGTAATCGACTTCTACATCTTCATTTTCAATTTCTAAAAATTTCATAACAGCATTGTGAGTTTCAGGGGTCGGCTTTGAACCAATTATATCTAAAACTTGTTCACTGAAAAATAAAAATATTAATTCACAATATTTTATTTAAAAAAAAGTATATATATGTAAACTTACACAATTTCTTTTTTCTTGTATTTTTTGGATGAAAAATATGCATTCAAATCCGCCACGGTAAATTTGCTAGCAGCTTTAACACCTTGTAAAAACATCTGAGCAGATTCAGAAGTTCCGATGTCATTGGTTATTGTACGCTTGTTATTTTTGACAAATGAAGTTAGCTAGAAAATAAAAATCTATATTATTTTTATCCTGACACTTATAATAAAATAATCGTCACCTTTATTTTTGGATGTTCTTGTACACTTTCATTAGTGTTAAATTCAAAATTGTGTTCATTGAACGTCACAGACAGATCTTTTTGAACTTGCGATAAATCCATTTTTTTATCCAAAATTGTTGAATCTGCATTACAAAATGTCTAAATTTGATTTAAGCGTCCAGGTAGCCAGATAACTACCATTTTGCTGAGACTTATTGTCAGATGTAAATTTCAATACAGGGTGTTCGGTTTGCTGGTCTCTAGGTTTGGAAATAATTCAATTTTGAAAATTTTTTTTTTCAAAGTTATGGCTACTAAAATGCTTATTTCACCGTTTAGTAATTTAATATTGATCACATCTTATTGGAAATTTAACATACTTTTCAACGGTATTGACATATTTGTCCAAAACCTTTTAGTTTTGGAGTTATCATTGTTTATTTAAAGCAAGGTCGTAAAATCTAAAAAAATCAGAAAAAGTGGAATAACTCCAAAACTGCTGAGACTCGGATCATAGTTAATTAGGACTTTTTGGTTCCATTTTGAATGTAGAATCTACAAAGTTTGTAACATGAGTAGCCGAACACCCCGTATAATAATATCTAACCAATTACTCAATTCAGCATATTTTATATTTATATTTTTAGCAATAAATAAAATAAAGGTAATTTAAAAAATTGTTTTACATTATTTACACCTCAATTTTTTTTTATTCAAGATAATTTTTGTTTAATGATTAGCTATTTAAAGTTAAACCATAATTTAAATTTACTATTAAACTTTAATAAATAAATCTGTAAAAATAACAGATTGGGTTTTTATCTAGATATTCCTGGTGAGTCAGGGAAACAGAGAAGATAATTTTTTTTTAATGTTTCGCGTTATGTAATGTTAAAATAAAATCTTCCTCGTTGCATTTTGAAATCTTAATTTAAATTTTTTTTTAAATTTTTTTTATTTTTTTTAAATCAATGTCTGTGGAATTCCCTTAACCATCATATTAGGTCGGGCTTTCAGGCACGGAGCTTTCAACTTTTTCACAATAAATCCATGATTTGATCAAACTGACATGATTTAACATGATCTTGTTGTTGTCCTCTTTTTCTTCTCTCTTTTGTACTTTTTCTTTATATCTAATTCTCTCTTTCGGCCATATTCAACTATGTTAATATAATATAAATTTGTTTATTAATTATTATTTCTTTTATTATATTTTCTAACCCTTTTTGTTATTTAAGCATTTTTTATTTTTCTACTCACTGTAAAGGGGCCAAGCCCTATTGTGAATTTTTTTATGAATATATTTATAGTTACATTTCAAGGCCTTTAAAATATAATTAAGTATACCTTTTAACTTCAATTCGGTTTGAGTCGTAGTCTTGATCCGCATGATTTTGTTCCACGCACTCAACAAAGTATGCTCTTCATCGGCTACGACATGATCGACAAGATTTCCTTTTGTTAAGACGATTTCTTCAAAACGTTTTGAGTCGATCTTCATTCCCCAAAGCTAGACGAGTAATAATGTTAGAATTTTTCTATTTGAGTAATAACTCTGCGATCGTTTACCCTGCTTTTCATAAGCTTATTTCCTCGCCAATGGCAACCAGTTTTGCTCTTCAAAATATGATTTCCTGTGTTTTTATAATCAACTTGACAAACACCGCTCATATCTTTCTCTTCGAACTTGTCGTTCGTCTGTCTAATCTGTAAGGGGGAAAAACGATTTAATAGTTGTTATAATTTGATGATAGTATTGTAAAATTACCTGAAAAAGACTTGCAAGACCCTTCTTGATATTCGCAAGTGTCGGGTCTTCGTCTATTGCTAAGTAAACTTTTTTCACTTCATTTTGAGACAACTGAATCACAAATGGTTTATTAACTAATTGATCAATTTTGGATACGTGGCTTGTATATCCATCTTGAGATTCTTGGCTTGATTTGACAAGCAGTTGGAGATCTTTAAGCTTTAAAAAAATTGTAAAAATTAAAATCAAGTTTTATAATATAATAGATAAGGAAATACCTCTGCGAGAAGAGCACCATTGTTTAAATTAGCTAGATTCAATTGACCGGTCAGTTTGAACCCGACAGGCACCATACCGTGGTCGAACATGAGGACATTCTGCGAGAATGAGTATGAACCGCCGAAACGCACCTCGCCACCGGCTGCGGTGACGGCTAGAAAAATCAGAAATGATAGTTTCAACATGCTGGCACTGATCTTACCAGTTGAACTAGCATGATAGATGTGCTTCGTGCGATGAGGAGGCATTAACTGATTGAATCAACTGATAACCTAGAGCTTGAGGATAGTACAAGTCAAGGTCAGCGACCCTTCAGCAGACTCCCCACTACATTCACCAACCCGGTGCTCATTGAATGATATAACACCTGCAAGAACATCATATTATGATACACATAAAAAATACCTGTCACAAGGCAAGCTGCCTGACCTGGCATCCAACCCCCATGCAATGCAGGCCTTTCTTATACGTAAAAAATATGAATTTAATGTTCAACAAATGAAAGATAAATATAACGGATATAAATTATATCCGTAATACACAATTGAACAAATTGGACCTAATAATGGACTTAATAATAAAATTGGATTCGTAGAGAGGAAATTGCCACTTCCTACTTTTCAGCCTACAAATTTTAAGTTTTCTCCTTTGCTAACAATATTTAATACTAATTATTATTATTTAAATATACAGATTATTATCCTTCTTACAAAAACATAAGTTTCATAACGCTAAATAGCAACTAGAAACCTACTTTAAAAAAAATATAAAACACAAAAAAAAGTGTCACTTTAAAACATTGATTTATCCATTATATTTAGCGGTCTAATTGACCAAATTACTTCTTTCAATTAATTAATCTTTTTATGTAAGGTTTTGGTTGAAATGAAAAAGTTAGTGTGATGAGCAGGATTCGAACCCACTCGAGCTGAAGGTCTTGGGTTCGAATCCTACTCGTGACATTAACTTTTTCATTTCAACCAAAACCTTACATACAAAGATTAATTAATTGAACTTTGATTTATTTTTTAATTTGATAATTTTTTTATTTTACTACTTTAAAAATAATTTAATAATTATAATTAGATGGAAAGCCAGAAACAAAACTGCTTAATTTCTATGATTTTTTCTTTGATGATTTCTTTGATTTAAAATCTCCACAACGTAAATCATCAAACAAAATTTAATTCTTTAAAAATGCCTTCATTTACTATTGTCTTGGTGCCCAAAACCAAACGATTATGAAAATATCTTTAATCTGTGAGCAAGTAGCCCGTGCCGTTTGTCGAGGATGGAAGAAATCAGCGTTACACTGTGAGATTTTTAAATTTGCCTAAAACGACAGTCGTCAGGTATTGAGCCTTTACCACGATACTGCAAGATGTACTCAGAGACCAGGATCGGATGCTCAGAGCCAGAGGACCAGCCGACGACGCATTTAACAAATTTCACACTCTGAGAAAATTGTGAAACACACATAAATATACATTAGCATCATGATGAGCTGTTTGCAATAAATAGAGCGGTATAGTCGACCTGAGAATGCCAATGGTCAGGAATCGAAAAAGCACTATTAAAGGACCATAGAAACCATAACATGATAGCACAGAGAATAAGAAGAATGCTGAGAGAACTGTGAAAAAGAGACTCAAAACGCATAGGGGAAATTACAGCAACAAGATACAAAAATATACTGAACAATGTTCTGAAGGAATAATTAACAACAAAGAATGAAGAAACGAAAGCCTTTTCCTTAGAGTGCAATGCTGGTTGAAGATACAAATAAAACCTACTTTCAAAACAACATGACACTGACAAGCCACGGAAAGAATATATCAGCAAGATTTAAAAGTTCAGAATGCCCGTGTAATCTGGGTAACATAACACAACATTATGCTACAAACAGTTGGCCTACATCGCAAGAAACTTTTATGACAAAATGCTATGTAGAATTTATAACATTTGTTAATTCAATTAGCTCAGAAAAATTGTGACAGTTATTTGTACATATAAAAGTGTGTTTGTAAGAGTGTACCATAATATTGTTGCAAGAGGGTAAAAATTAAGCCAATTGCATAAAATGTAAACTTGTGTGTAAATCTTTGTATATAAATTGTATGTAAACTTGTACTGTTGCCCACAATCACTAAAGGGGATGGGCATTAAAAAACAAAGTAAATAAATAAAAAAATCAATGAAAAATAAAAAACTCAGACTCTTTTACATTGCTTCTGAAGCGTTTCAACCTCGAACTGTGCGGGATGTGTCTGTTAGTGCTGAAATAGTAAGAAGTATATCTCAGAAGTTCAGCAACAGGTCTAGCACTTACCAGAGACCAGAGAAAAATTTCTGTCACTGGCGGGAATTTTCCAGAGCATTAATTCCATTCTAGTCCAGTTAATCTCCAGTAGCATCAATAATAATAATATATTTTATGGAATTAATCCAATTTACAAAAAAAAAGCTTAAATATAGAAATACACAATACGAAAGAAAAATAAGAAAACAAAGTAAAAAATTATGTAAGTATTAAACAATATTTAAAGAAAGAAAATAGCTTAAAATAATGTTAAATATAAACAAACCTAAAAAAGATCACATTTATCACGGTCATTTTAAATTTTATTTGTTATTACCCTTTTTATCTAAAGTCTTGGTTGAGATGCAAAAGTTAGCGTCCCAAGCGGGATTCGAACCCATGACTTTTGGCTCAATGCTAACTGCAGCTCAAGTGGTATAAGCGGCGTATTTAGCCAAAAGTCGCGGGTTTGAATCTCGCCTGTGAAACAAATTTTTCCATTTCGAAAAAATTGTGTATAATTGAGTATTTATATAATTAAGCATAAGTGATAAAATAATTAAAAAGTTACCATTATTGACGTTTAGGCTCGACGAATTATTACATTATGAATGAAACTTTTCCCACTGCATCATGGTATTAATTTTATAAAAGATTTCTAGATCATCTGTCAGCAACAAAACATTAACATCTGTACAGATATTCACATGATTAAAGAATATGAAAAATAGCAGCGGACCCAAGTTTGAACCTTGAGGGACCCCAGAATGTGAAGAAATATGAACTAGTCCCTAAACATATGGACTTTTGCAAGTTGTGTATTTCCTAATGAATACTGAAATGATACCTTTTATGAGGACCTTGTGAATTAACGCTCAGACTCAACAAATTATTACAACACCTTTGTGAGATAAAAATTTAAAATGAAAATTGTCTTATGTAAGCATATTGCTGGCTGTAGATTTGACCCTCCTGTAGCAATTCGTGAAAAGCTAGTAAAACCTGAAAACTTTTCTGAGAAGGAAACAGAAAAAAAATCAAACTTTCTTCTACTTGTCTCCAATAAATTCAATTCATAGACCTAAATAATGAAAGAATAAAGCGTGTGAGCCTTAAAATAAGCAATGAAAAAAATTATATTTCCTATGGAATCAAAGTTACTGATGTAACTTATAATTACTACAATATTTATTTTAATTGTGGTATAAATAACTAGTTTCTACTGATATCATTTGTTAACAAGGGAGATAACTGTTTATTTATTTATTTAACAGTTTCCCAATTACAAATGTTTACAATAAAAGTTTAAAGGTTATAACTATACCTAAATTTAAAAATATTTACAATTTAAAAAAATGAATTGAAACAATTTCAAATCTGTATTAAAACTATCTAATTATTATTAATGATACAATATTTATTTAATTTTTAATGACAAAATTTGCTTCAATTTACTTAAATGTATTTAAATTTTTGAAAGTGTTTAACAAATTTGTAAAAATGATGAATGATTGAGTGAGGACGCTTGTTCAATCTTTATAAAAATGGCAGCGGATCGGCGGGTTCACAATTGATGTCGAGAGACATGGATGTAATTTCCTTCAACCTGATGATGAGCTATAAGCTTAGAAACTATCTCTTTTATAAAGATTTAACAAATTTGTTGTTCTTGGTATAAAACTGAAATTGGCATAATTGGCAGTCAACGGAGAATGTTATTTGACTTCTGGAATGATAAGATGCAATCAAGCAATCAGTTAATGCAACAATTTATATAATAATAAGTAATCAAAGAATTTCCTTCTGTAAAGAACACTGGTCAAGTTCACATCCAACATTAACTTCTATGCGGCTGATTTGGGTAGAATGAATGCGACCTCAAAGAGGTGAACAGTATTTAAATATTGGTCATATTGGAAGCGTATAAAATTTTGAGTCATCTGGATCATGGAAATATTTAGTATGGCATGTAAACGAATCGTAAAATTTTATTAGCTTTAGCAATTGTTTTATTAATATGTGTGTGTGTGTGTGTGTGTGTGTGTGTGTGTGTGTGTGTGTGTGCGCGCGCGCGCGTGTGTGTGCGCGCGTGTGTGTGTGTGTGTGTGTGTGTGTGAAAGTTCATCTGAGTGTCAATAATAACACCAAGATATTTAACAGTTTCATGTCTAAATTTGATAGGAGATTTTATTTTATGGAAAGTCATAACTGATTGAAACATTAAAGATTATTATTTGTTGAACACCATTTATTAAGTTTTACCGCATGAAGTTGTGTGCGATCAGAAACAGAATTAATTTTTAAGAATATATTTAAAACATCTGCAAAAAGTAGACATAATGGATGGAAGTGAATCAGAGATATTGTTTGCACAGATTTAAAAAAAAAAGTTCCACGTGTGAATCTTGAGGAACTCCAGAAATTGCTATAAATGTATGTTTTTTAAGCATTTGACTTTCTAAATAAGCTACAAACCAACATAATAAGTTATCACATATACCTACCTATCAACACTATCAAAAGCATGTATGTGGTGATTAGTGACTCTTAGTTAATGATTTTATTCAAAGATCGTGAGGTGTGGTTTAATGTGACGTAGGTTTTAGAAAAATATTTTCTTTATCATGCCACCATTTCGATCTTTATTGAGATCATCTTCAGGATGGGATTTATAAACATTTTTTAAATTATACAAATACATGTAGGATGTGAAAAAAAAAAGAATTTATACAATGCTAGAAACTTTTAGATTAGAAAGAAATGAATTTATACAATGTTAGAAAATTTTACATTAGAAACAAAGGAATTTATACAATGCTAGAAAATTTTAGATTAGAAACAAATGAATTTATACAATGCTAGAAAATTTTACATTAAAAAAAAATTATACAATGCTAGAAAATTTTAGAAAGAAAAATGAATTTATACAATGCTAGAAAATTTTACATTAAAAAATAATTATACAATGC